AAGAGATCCATATTTGTGCCCATTCCAAAGAAAGGTGATCCCACAGAATGTAGAAATTATAGAACAATATCATTAATATCACATGCATTATTTTAATAAGTACCTTGTTCTAATATCCATTATTGAACTGTCTTTGTACTTGTGGGAAGCTCTGGTGGCATAGTGCCTAAGGCATTTGACTGCTAACTAGAAGGCTGGCAGCTCAAACCCAGCCACTCCTTGGAAGGAAGGTTGGGTAATCTACTTCTGCAGTGATACTGCCTCAGAAACCCAAGGAGGGGTTGCTATGAGTCAGATATGACTCAATGGCAGCGGGTTTAGTTTTGGTTTGTACTTGTGGTTTCAAGGTAGAGCTACAACTTGCTGTCAAGATTATGCCTTGCTCAGATGCTCCAAAATAGAAATATAACCTAATAATTGAGCTCTGGTAATGCAGTGGCTAAGACATTTGCCTGCTTTCCAGAAGGCTGGTGGTTCAAAACCACCAGCCACTTTGCAAAAGAAAGATGAGGCAATCTACTTCTGTAAAGATTTACTGCTTTGGAAACCCAGTGGGGATTGCTATGAGTAGGAATTGACTCAATGGCAGTGAGTTTGGTTTGGTTTTATAGCCTAATTATTTGGCCATTGAAATTTTGATTAAAAGGAACTGGAACTCTGAGAGGGGTGGAACACACTTCTGACATAGCTCAGTAAAATTTTTCTTCTTTGAGAAAAGGATAAGTAAGTGTAAGGAGTAATAGGTTCACAAGTGAAAAAACTATGACTCTCAAGCAAAATAAAAATTCTGGGAAATAGAAAAGGTAGACAGAAGAAGACAAAAGTGTATAACATTATTATCCTGGCATTTTTCATTTTCCTGTTGCTGTGGAGTTGATTTTGTCTTATGGCAACCCCAGGTGTGCAAGAGTAGACCTGTGCTCCATGGGTTTTCATTGGCTGATTTTTTGGAAATAGATTGCTAGACATTTCTTCCAAGGGACCTCTGGGTAGACTTGAACATCCAACATTTTAATTAGCAACCAAGCACCTTAACTGTTTGCACCAGCAAGGGACTCCATGCTGAGAAAGACATTGTTAATATTTTATTGTATTTTCATCCAATCTTTCTTTTTTGGCTATATGAAAAGAAGTATTTTAATATCAATATCATTTGTTTTATGACATGCCTCTGTTATCCTCTGAAGTTAGATAAGAAAGCGCAAGGTTTAGTGTTCACACTTAAAATTGATGAAAAGTTAGAATAATACTTTACTTTTAACTGTCATGCAAATGGATGTGGTCAGTACACAATGTGTTTACAAGACTCTCCACTCACTGTTGGGGAAAACAAAGAATTTGATAAATTACTATTCATAAATAATTGTTGTTTTTTCTTTTATACCTTACTGCTTTCATAAAACTTTAGTGTTGTAAACCTTGCTAATCATCTTTGTTCTGGGAACTCCTATGTTATTGTAATAACCTCGAATTTCCAATTTAGGTTATTAGAAGAGTCCTATACCAATGTATAGTACAAGTATAAGGATATATAGTATAAGGAGCTCTGGTAGCTTAGTGCCTAAGGCACTTGACTGCTAACAAGAAGGCTGGCAGTTCAAACCTACCAGCCACTCCTCAGGAGGAAGGTTGGGCAATCTACTTCCGTAGTGATACTGCCTCGGAAACCCAAGGAGGGGTCGCTATGAGTCGGGTCCGACTTGATGGCACATAACAACAACAGCATATCAATGTACCTGGCTGGATGGTTCTCTTGAAAAGTCTCTCCTGCAAGAGGCAACTCAGGAATCAGACCTCTTCTATATTGTGGCTCTGTCCTCCTCTAGGTTGTTGGCATCCTCTCTGTTCACTTGGCAGATGGAGAGAGAATGTAAAAGGTTGTGTGGGAAGTTTATGGCCAGCACTTTAGTGGTATACATTGTTTCTGCTATATTCTGTTATCCAGGATTCTATCACATGATTCTCTAATTAGAAGAAAGGCTAAGAAATACCATCTCCCTGAATATATAGGACAAAAGGCAAATGAGATAATGGTGAAACATTTTTCTGCTACATGATTGTAATGTGCTATGAGTACGGTTCTAAATTTAAAAATTGCAGTCACTATAAATTTTTCAGTAGAAATGAGATTAGGTTTATTCCTCCTGCTCCTTTATTCAATGTGCTGCATTTTCTTTTTTTAGGTAATGGTTGATGAATCGCCTTTGTCTGATGACCCTGATTCTTATGTTACGTTAACGGTTGTCCGGTCTCCAGGAGGGAAAGGAGCTGTCCGACTTCAGTGGACTGTAGATGAGATGGCTAAAGATGATCTCAGTCCTTTGAATGGGACACTTCATTTTGACGAGGTATAGTCAGCATTAGGATTCCCACTATTTTCCTCTAATTTGTCACTACTTAATTTTCTTCTTCATGGGGTTCTGATAAATTCATACAGTGGTGCTCAGTATATCTGGAACTTTTGAAACCCATGTGGACTATGGGGAAAAAATCACAAAAATCCTTACATATCTGTATTTCAGTTTGTTAATTTCGACGCTATCTCTTGGTGGTTCAAATTCACCAGCCACTTCTCAGAAGGAAGGTTGGGCAATCTACTTGTGTAGTGATACAGGATCAGAAACCCAAGGAGGATGGAATTGATGAATAAAATAAATATGCTATCTTTGCAATTTGAAAAACCAACAACATTAACAACAAAAAAAAAAACTTACAAAATAAGATTTGATAAAATGGATATAACCAACAAAACAGAAGACGTATTGGAAAGTGTGACTATGCACGTCTAGGTGGATAAATTAAGAAACCTATATAAAATTGACCCTAATAAATATAGAAAATTTAAGAGACCTATTTCTATAAAATGAGTTGGATCCGACTCCACAGCAGTGGTTGCATTTCGTTTTTTTTTTTTTTTTCTGTCTCATGTAAAAACTGCATTTCTCACAACATTTCTCTTGACGAGAGCAAAACTTAAGGAACCAGACAGGTGTTAACCCCAACTCCAACCTTTTTGTAAAACTCACATGTATTTAATCACCAAATCTGCTCAATTCCTCTTTTTAAATGACTTTTCTGACTGATCCTTCTCAATCATGGCTGTGACTATTCATGCTTATCCTTGGAATGGACTCTCTTAACCAGAATCCTCATCTCCATCTTTTTCCTATTCTATCCATTATTCATATCCCTGACTATCAATATCCATATCTGTATAACCCCATCAGAATTTCACTGAGAATAACCCCAACCCAACCAGCGCCAAATGATACTTATGAACACAATTCTAGTTGAAATTGCATCTCTTTCTGAGAATTAGGGTGGAGTTGGGTGGGGTAGATGGAGGAGAACTGACAAACTGACTTTAAAATATATATGGAAATACAAAAGAGCAAAAATAGTCAGGAACATAATGGACAGACTTGTCTAACCAAATATAAGACATTACATAGATGATTAAGATAATGTGATTTGCCCAGGGATAGATGAATAGATCAAATAGAAGAAAATACAGAGTTTGAATTTATCATTCTTTTTACAGTATTTTTCTTAAAGAGTCAGGTTTGATAAACCCTTCCTAAATTAATAAATAATGAACGCAGAAGACAATTAAAAACAAAGACAATGGAATTGATGAATAAAATAAATATGCTATCTTTGCAATTTGAAAAACCAACAACATTAACAACAAAAAAAAAACTTACAAAATAAGATTTGATAAAATGGATATAACCAACAAAACAGAAGACGTATTGGAAAGTGTGACTATGCACGTCTAGGTGGATAAATTAAGAAACCTATATAAAATTGACCCTAATAAATATAGAAAATTTAAGAGACCTATTTCTATAAAATAAATAGAAAAAAGCAAGTTAAAAGAGAAACTCCACAGATGATTTTCCAAAAGGATTCCACCAAAAATTTAAAAGATTAGTTAATCTCAATGCTACACAGTCTACTTCTCTGGAGTTCAGTAACCTTTCTCCAGAGCTTTGTACACTAGCTTTTGATTCAATGTGGAGAAAAATACTTTTCTTTCAAGGTTTCTGATATGTGACTTAAAAATTAACCAGTGGTGCTTTGACATTTCATTTGCCACTTCAGCATGCTCCCACTCTTTTTGAGGTGTTGATTACTCTCATGACATTAGTACTCTTAAGCCAGATATTTCATCTACCTGTGGCACTTCTCAGATTCTGACATCTGGCCACTGAAACAATATCTAGGTTGTATGGCTGACCTATGACCTGAAACCACTCATCTGGCACAAGAGTAGAATTTAGAAATTAGTCTCAACTCCCTATAAATATTTTATTGTTAATAATTATTAATAATTCTCCATTACAAAATTCTAATTACCAGATCCATTTCCCAGGTGACTAGGAAGGATTTCTGATTATGAGAAGGATTCAAACACCAAAATGACAGATAGCATATCATTTCCTTCAGGGAGTAAGGCTATCCTTTTTCAGACTACTGCATCAGAAAAGTGCAGCATTCTGTCTGCACTTCTTCCATAGATTTGTTCTTTCTTCTGGCAGTCCACGGTGTTTTCAATATTCTTCACCAATACCACAGTTCAAAGGCATTAATTCTTCAGTCTTCCTTATTCATTGTCCAGGTTTCACATGCATATGGCTTGGGTTAGACACACCTTAGACTTCAAAGTGACATCTTTGCTCTTCAACACTTTAAAGAGGTCTTTTGTTGCAAATTTATCCAGTGTAATACAATGTCTGACTGTTGCTTCCATGGGTGTTGATTGTGGATCCAAGTAAAATGAAATCCCTGACAACTTCTATCGTTTCTCCATTTATAATGGTGTTGTTTACTGGTCCAGTTGTGAGGATTTTTGTTTTCTTTATGTTGAGGTATAATCCATACTGAAGACTGTCCCCTTTTCTCTTCTACAAAGTGAATTTGTCGATCACTTTATGGATTCTACCCTCTTCATTTAGTTTTTGGTCACTTACTTGGCACATTTTCATACAGCTAGGTTACAGTTCCATTGTCTTATACATTCAGCTCTAAAGTGCATGTTTCTAAGTACCCATGTTATAATTTGCTTTTGATGTCTCCAATCTTCTGGTTATAATCATGGCTAGTAGAATCCTTTCCAACAATACTGCAAGGTGGTTCTGTATTCCCATATACCATTCTCATAGCAATTTACTGCTTATATTGGCAATACGGATAGTAGTCTACAGGAGCTATTATTCCTAGGATGCATCCAAGGTTGTATCAAGATTCACTGTGTAATGGTATCCTGAACTTCTCTCAAATATAACAATAACTGTGGGGCACCATTGCCCCACTTAAAGTGCAATTCTCTAGTAGTTCTGTTCACTCTGTTCCTTGGCAAGAGGGTGAAGTTCTGTCTACAAGCAGAATATCTAATCTTTATACCTTCTCATTATTAGAATTTACAAGTTTGCAGGACTGATGAATGATATATTCTGTGAATGATATTTGGTCCAGAGATGATAAATCAGTGGAGGATATAGCTGATTGTCTTCCCTTGGAAGAAGATTCTGAGATGGGGATTATTGTCAGGAGGCTTTTTAGGGACTGCTTTTGGGATCAATTCCTATGGAAGAGAAAGGAGCAGAATTGGGCAGGAGTGAAGTCCAGCAATGGTGCAGCCTTAAAATTGATGCTACAGTTTGTTTTGAAGAGGGACTAACTCTTAAGCTCTATCCCGACTTGGTGTAAAGGTGAGCTTTTATATTCTTGAGATGAGCAGTCACTGGCTGCTGTGAAGAGGATTTGACTCTGGCATAGGGGAATCTCTTCAGGTGGGGGAATTTCCAAAGTTGCCTAACAGATGGGAGCGATCTGCTGGAAGCACTCCTAGAAGATGAGGTAATGAGTCCTTTCCTAGGGGAGGACATTAACAAATATAAGAACATCCTACACAGAAGGCTAGAGTATGTCATGCTCAAGAGGGGCTTGTTCTGAGAGTCCTTCACACACTATTCCTTATTTCTTTTAAATTATAGAGTTTATCCTTCTACTACCCACTTTGGCTGCCCTCTACCCAATATTCCTTTCTTATCCTTCTGACAGGTGCTGATCCAAAGAGTACTCACTTATTCCTTCCCCATCTAATCTTGCATTTAGCTGAATGATTTCTTTGAACTGTTGTTAACTTTTCAGAGTAGATTAATGTTGTTGTTTCTGTGTACATTTTTGACTCGTAGTGACCTATAGGATAGAGTAGAACTTCCCCGTAGGGTTCACAAGGCTATAAACTTTACAAGAGCAGATTACCAGGTCTTATTTCCCATAGAGTTGCTGGTGAGTTTGAACCACCAGTCTTTTGGTTAGCAGCTGAGCACTTAACCATTGTGTCACTAGGGCTTCTTTTCAGTGTAGTTGGTCATTGTTGTTAGGTGGCGTCAAGTTGATTCCAAGTCTTAGTGACCCCCATCTACAACAGAACAAACACTGCCCTGCATTGTGCCATCCTCACAATCCTTGCTATGCTTGTGTCCATCGTTGCAGCCACTGTGTCAGTCCATCTCATTGAGGGTCTTCCCCTTTTGCAGTGACTCTCTACTTTTTTTTTTTTTTAATTGTGATTTGGGTGAAGATTTACAGAGCAAATTCACTTTCCACACAGCAGTTTACATATACTTTGTCTCATGACATTGACCACAGTTTACCACAATGCAACAGCTCCCCGCCCACTTCCTCCCCATAGTTACCTCTTCCCAGTGTCCATCCCT